AAAATCATCCCCGTATAGTCCCTCTTGTGTTATGCTATAAAGAACCCCAGAACCTGCTAATCATTCAGGCGTCATATCATTTCCTTAACTGAACGGGCCCGGCCCGGTCTCTGCCTCCCGAAGCATTGCACGCGCCAGGCGCTCCGATCAGCTCCCCCGCCGTGCTTTGTTGCGTGCTGGAGATCCAAAATTGGAAGACCGAAAGCTGATCCCTACTTGGAGGGTCGGGGGACTTAGTAACCAGGTATTTTTAGATCCAGAAGTATCACAACCCCAATCAGGGTCCCTTTTGGGGTAGTTATAGCTCTCTAAAATAAGTACTTACTAAGTCCCCTGGCCTTCCAAGCAGAGTAACCTGAAGAGTGAACTTTATAGTAACTCAGCGGGACCTTCAGGGGGGTAGGGGGGAGCGGGTGGGGGGCCTTAATACCAATGATAAGGATTTCATAAGGCTTATTTCAGGAAGTATGGTGCCCTACCCCCCTCCCCCTTACCCCCCAAAAAGTCCCTACTATGAGTCATTCTTCTAGTAACCCTCATGGAACCCCTAAACCCTAAACCCAAAACCCTAGCCCTGAAGTCAGCAAAAATGCGCCGCCCCCCGCCCCGAAACGCTTCAGTTGCACTTTGCAAAACTAGCTAGCCCTTACCTCAGACCTGAGTTCGTTGCCAACCGCCGAGAGGTCGTGTTCTTCGAGCATTTCCATCTGAACAAACCTGACTCTCGCCTTACTGTCCCTAAACCCTAAGACCCTAAACCCCTAATCCCGAAACCCTAAACCCAAAACCCCTAAACTTCCCCTAAACCCTAAACCCTAAAACCCTAACATCCTAAAGCCCTAAACCCTAAAACCCTAACATCCTAAAACCCTAAACCCTAATACCCTAAACCCTAAAAGCCTGGACACTAGACAGCATATCAAGTCTTTGGAGTTCGACCGCCGATTAACCCGTAGCTGCGGGAATATTCATACTTCGTAGTTGAGGGCTTTTGGGTTTAGGGTTTCGGGTCTAGGGTTTCGGGTTTAGGGTTTAGGGTTTCGGGTTTAGGGTTTAGGGTGAAGGGGTGTATGAAATACCAGAAGGGGCCCGAATACTTAGCAATCGTGTTCAGGGTTCTCTAAGACGTTTACAGTGTGCAACCCCTCAAAACCCCAGTCTAACTACAGAGCAACAAGAGCACAAAACTGAAAAGCCCGAACGCCCACCCTAGACCCTAAACCCTAAACCCAATACGAACTAATAAGACCAATAAAAAGCCCCAGAGACCCCAAACCCCAAGGCCCCACGATCTTACAAGCCCTAAATCTCTGAATTCGAAGCCCTAATCCCTCAGCCCTAATTCCTGAACCCCAAATCCTAAAACCCTAAAGTCCTAAACCCTAAATACCCAACAGCTTTCCCAAAACCCAATCAATCCTTCGCCCTAAAACCCTAAAGCTGTAAAGCTCCAAAGGCCCACAAGCCCTGAACCCAAAACTCGAGGCTTTGGCGCCCACCTCCGTGGGTGCGCGGCGCTTCAGCCCCTCGACCTCGATGGAGCAGAGCGATCCAACACGCCTGCCCGCCTCCCCACAGTCATGGGGAGCTGGCCAAATTCTGTGATTTGGGTGTTTGGTTCTGCTGCCGTGCCCCTGCCCTGCCCCCCTGCCCCTGCTCCCGCCCCTGCCCCCCCGCCATAGTCGAATTCTTCGCAGCCAAGGCAGAGGACGTCTCACAAGCTTTTCGAGGCGGCGCCCATGACCCAGGCTGCAGAGGTCGTGTTGGTCCGCAAAGTGAGCTGACCGTCTCTCGCGCTTCTGACTTCCTTCCATGGCCACGACACTGCTTCCCGGCAGCGTGGTGTGAGATGCGGCTCGACGCCTGAATGTTCGGGAACAGCGAAAGACAAGAGTGTGTTGAAACAAGCGTGTGTAGACAGATCTCGATGATCGCAATCTTGCATGTTTGCATTTGGTTTTGCAACACACATATGCCTCGAAGCTGTGCTCATAGATCGTGTTTCCGTATAAGCCACTATTGTCCTTTTCGAGATCCATCCGTCGATAACATGGATCTCCTTGAACTGCAACTCATAGACACGAGCGCTCGCAGGCGTTGCGCACGCGCAGGCACTGTTGCCTGCACCTTGCGGTGACGTGATATAATAATGCCGTACACTCGCGTGCCGAGGACTCCAGGCGGCCGACGCCGAAGTGTCTTTTCATGATCGTCTGGCTCACGCCTGCATCCTCTTCGACCACTACATCCTGTGGCTTCAGCGCCAGGTCGAGTTGCTCGCGGTCCTACGATGCCTCCCTGTCTTGGGAAACGCTGCCTGTGGGGATGCCATGGTGGCCATAGCTCCTTGCCTATAGCCCCGGCCCATCGTGTGTCTTGATGACCCCCCCGTGACCTGGACCTGTTGTTCTCCGGCCGTCTTCTGCGCGTCCACGCGACCGGCGGCGGAGCTGCCAAGTCCTCATGACCTTGTCGCTCATCTCCCTCTCCTTCGAGCTGAAGACGGTCGCGACTGGACGATGCTTAATTGAGGTGACACAGTTATGGGCTGAGGCAAGGAATCTTCGCATGAACTTCAAAATAAATATAGGCATTGCGGTCAGTCTTTGCAGGTCCGTGTCCTGCGCGTGCGTACGGGGTCATGTTCTGCGGCTGGGTGTGCTCGCCCGCGAGCTGGAGAACCCGGAGGGAGCTGTTTTGTACGAGCTCGGCGGCTTGTGAAGTGCATCGAACACCGAGGGTCCGATACCTGATGACAGGGATCGTCTTCCATCCAGCCTGCGCTGGTTGTTGTAATACGACTTGTACAAGTGCGCCGCTCATGTAGCTGTTCTAGCCTCTTCCTGCGCTTCTTTGCTTGAGCTCAAACGAACTGTTTTTGTAGCGGCTTCTATCCTCTGTACTTCTCGCCGTCTCCATGTTCGGCGGTCGTGGCAACTTCGCTAAAGGCAAAAAGGCAGCTGGGGGCCGGCGCGTCGCGGGAAGGGACGTGAGGACTGGGCTTCGCCTTGGACGCAAGAACCGGAACCAGAGGAACGAGGCGGCCAACGGCGACTCCTAGGCCGCGACATCATGGTCAAGAATTTCTTACGGCCGAATGCATCTGCAGCTGGCTCTATTCTCTACTCTGAGGACGATGACTGCGAGCTCCTTTCCAAGCAATCTCTCCGTTCCGTGCTCAATGCCGACGCGTCAGAGATGTCGCGCCGACCGGCATATGGGTTCAGCATGATGGCCACGTCCGTGCACGCTCTGGGCACGCACCTTGGCGATGACAAGGCTCGCGCAGCAGAGACGAAGCTTGTCACAGCGCTGACGGAAATGGAGGATCTGAGCAGCTTGGACTTCGAGAAGGCGAAGTCCCTTCTGACGAGTACATCCAGACGCGGCTGTGGAAAGGAAGCGAAGACGGCAAAGGATGAGAACACGAGGGAAGCCCTTCTGCTTCCCGTTCCGGACCACCCTCCCCGGGCCAGCCCCGGAGATTCGCTGTCGCCGACATGATGAAGATCCACTTCGTGTCGGCCCTGACGCCGGACGGTGTCATCATCGAAGCTGAGACGAACAGCGTCTACGAGGTTAAGTTGGAGGACGATCTGACCGTCGAGGGCTCGGTGCGCTATCTACTGGAAAACCAGGGCATGGCAGCAGACGTGAAGAATTGGAACATGTATACACTGTCTGACGGCATTTGCCAGCCCATCTCGGCCTGCACGACGCCCGCCACAACAGCTCCAGAGGTCGTCCTTGTGCTCAAGGCCGACGGAACCGCGACCAGCAGGAGTGCTCTTCCGTCCTTTCGCGCATCTGGCGAGAAAATGAATGGACTGCATGCTGCGCTGCCGCCTCGGCTGTTTACTTTCAATCCAGGCCCTGGGTCTTTCTCGGCGTGATCCGAGCCGTCTATTCACTGGAGCTTGACTGCTCGAGCTTCCTTTTCGTCGCTGATATAGGCTTGGTCGCGCACATGGCTGCAGCTTTTACCAGCGTTCTTCTACTCTGTGAGTACGTTCTCACGCTGTGTCTCTGTGCACACTCAAATCACTTAAACATGATCCGCTGCAGCTGCGCATTTCTTCGATACTACAGGCTCTGGGCTTTAACCTCCGGTGCACGCTCCTCGTCGTGTTCATCTTCGTTTACATGTACTTCGAGCTCGAACGACCCACCTCCTGATGATGGCGCCGATGCTCCTGCGCGGGGTCCTGCCGCTGGGCCACCTCCGCCTCCAGTTTTACCGGCTGCGGCTCCAAATCCTGCAGCCGTGGCTGGCGACGTGCCTGGGGAGCGTGGTCGTGGATGGGCATTGAGACAGAGGTGGCGTCCGGCTGCGGGTGCCCCCTGTGGCGGCTCGCGCGGAGGGCAGCTGTGTACTTTTGGATTGGGTGGCACTGCGCTGTCTGCAAGTGCACCAGGCACCAGGCCAATGCTATCTGTGCGACACTGAAGCATTACAGGCTCTCTACAATGACCGCCACACTGGTCTCTTCACGCATTTCTTGACGACGTTGGATGTAGCTGGTTTGCGACCGTTGGTCCTCGGAACAAGCATGCTCGCGAATAGTTTGCTGCAAGATCCTGTGATGTTCGTGTTCATCGTTTGCCGTGACGCCATGCACGACCGCTCTACGGCTCACACGAAGGTTCCTGCCGTGCTGCGCCTGCTGCCCCACCGTGTCCTGTCCTCTGCTTTTCTTGCCCGACCACGTCCCGGACGAAGCGCTCAGGATGGGAAAGACTTTTGTGCCAGGACCAGAAACCCATCTTCGTTAAAGCAAGGCGGCTTTGAGGCATGACTCCCATGAAGTTAGGAAAAGAGATCAGCGCGATGCTTTCCAGGCTCTGCTTTGAACCATTCTTTTTACAGCTTTTGCGCCAGATTACAGCAAACTCCAAACCCCAAACCCCAAAACCCTAACCCCGAGCCCTAGACCCTAAGAGCCTGAAGCTCAGGAGGGTTTAGAAGAGGGCTCTGGCCCTAGGATTTCCTTCTCTGCCAGGACCGGGGCATCGTCCTGACCGCCGTCCGGCAGCGTGGCGCAGCGCTCCGCTATGCGTCCGAGGACCTCCCGCGGGATCATTGGGACTCAGTTCCGAGGACGGAAAATCTTCTTTAATTCAGGTTTTTGCTTTAAACGTGAAATCATGCTAAGGGTCCCGTCTTTTAATTTAAGGTATATTCCTCAATTCAGGGGCTATAAATAAGGCCGCTAAGGCAATCTTATGATTCCAATTAGGGTACCTAGAACCTATGTACTAAGAACCCTAAACTCACAAACCCTATAGAACACGTCCAGAACCTGCATAGACAGAACTCATCGTTATTTGGTTCTATAAGCATTTCATAAAAGCTCCAAAAAGGTTGAACAGGGTTTGGTATATAAGGGTTTAGGGCTTTGGGCTTAGATGTAGAATACCACACTCTCGCTGCTGAGTTTCGTGTGGCCTTCCAACTCGTGATGGAGAGATTTGACCACGTCTGGCTCACCCAGTCCATCGCGGAGTTTTGGTCGATTCTGGAACCCAATCATTACATATCCCATCCAAGGCGAAACTGACAACCTGGCTCCAAGACTACAACTCAGGCCGGGTATGTTAGGGCGTGGAGTTAGTTTGGGAACGTCAGCTGCTCCGATGCCAGGTGGCATCCAGGAAGAAGCCAAGACGGAGAACGTCCTCGACCTGTCCGATATCAGGGCAGCGAAGTGGCCGTTGCCCTTGCCGGAGGCCAAAACGCTTGCAGCACTTTTTGGCAACGGCGGCGTTTGAGCTAAACCCTAAACCCTGTAAACCCTAAACCCTACAAGCCCTAAGCCCTATAAATCCAAAACACTAGAACCCTAAACCCTAAATTCCTGTCGAAGGGCTTCCGTTTGCATTATCTACAACAAATCAAGCATGCTTGTGGCAGCAGCACCTCAAGTGTCACAACGCCAAGACAACGGACTCTAGCCTCTAGTCTAAACATGTCTAAACCTTAAAATGTGTACCCTCAACCCCAGACCCCTAAAAGCTAAACCCTAAATCCAAAACACCAAACTCTCAACTCTAAACGCCTAAACCCCAAAACCCTAAACTCCTCAACCCCTAGAGCCCCCAGAGCCTTAAACTCTAAACCCAAACCTGAAAAACCCTTAACCCTTAACCCTAAACCCTAAACCCTAAACCCTAAACCCTAAACTCTAAACCCTAAACCCTACACCCTAAGCCCGAAACCGTTTCTAGAAGGAGCTCCGGGCAGACCGGGAGATCGTTCTCGCCGCTGCGCGCCAGAGCAAGCGCTCCCTCATGTGAGCCCATGCCATGGTTTAGGGTTTAGGGTTCAGGGTTTAGGTGATCTTGGGTTTGGGGGTTAGGGTTTAGGGTTTAGGGCTTAGGGTTTTAGGGTTTTTAGAGTTTAGGCGTATAGGGTTCAGGGATAGGGTTGAGGGTTTTAGGAGTTGGGATGTTTTAGGTTTTAGGGTTGGAGGGAGAAAGGGTTTGGGGTTTAGCGTTTTAGTTTTTTTTTTTAGGATTTACGATTTAGGGTTTTGGGTTAGTGGGCTTTAAGGACTAAAGTTTAGGGTCTTAAAGTTTTTGGGCTGTCTTACGGGGCGCACAAGGGGAAAACGCTTATGAGGGTTCTGCAGGGGTGTTAGGGCTGAAGCTTGTGGAGTAGTAAGGCCTCAACCCTAACTAAACCCTCAACCCCTAAACCCCTAAACCCTAAACCCCTAAACCCCTAAACCCTAAACCCTAATTAAACCCTAAACCCTAAACCCCTAAAGCCTAAAGAATGTTCAGAATTTTTGAAAATTTTGGGAGAAATAGGATGGGCTGCTGGAGTAGAGGGCCGTAAGGATTCGAAGCGGGTTGCGTAAGGGTTTAGGCTTTAGGGTTTAGGGTTTAGGGTTTATATGAGCAGGTTGTTGGGGGTTCATGGTGTGTATGGTATACGGGCCTTAATAATTAGAAGGGTGTTTCTACAGGGTTTCCCTGAACCCTAAACCCTAAACCCTAAACCCAATGCAGGGTTTCTTTTCAGGGTGCTACAAGCCTTCCCTTGACGAAACTGTAAGGTTCTACAAGGGAGCCTTCAGTTCGACGGTCTGGGGTTTAGGGCTATGGAGTGTAGGGCTTGGGTAGGGTACATGCCTGCAGCCTCTTCCAGGGAGACCGTCTGTATAGGGTTTTAGAGGGCAGTTCCAAGTTTTAGGAGGGTTTTCATTGGTTTTGTAATGGTTTTTGCCAGGGTTTCGTGCGGGTTTATGGGTGTTTGGCTTTGTGGGTCTGGGGTTTGAAGGGCTTCGGGATTCAGGGCACAACCCTAAACCCTAAACCCTAGTCCCCTAAACCCCTAAACCCCTAAACCCCTAAACCCCTAAACCCCAAACCCCTGAACAAGAGGTACGCAGCAGATGTCTTGAAGAAGCCCTAAACCCTAAACCCCTAAACCCCTAAACCGTAAACCCCTAAATCCTAAACCCCCGAGCCCTAGGTACGCGGCAGACGTCTTGAAGAAGGACGCTGCCTTCATCCAAGAAGTTTCCACCCAGGCGCCCCGAAAGCCATCCCCCAAAAGCCCCACAAAGTCATACACACAGTCTGCTACAGAGGGTTTAGGGTTTAGGGTTTAGGGTTTAGGGTTTAGGGTTTAGGGTTTAGGGTTTAGGGTCCCCAAAAGCCCCACAAAGTCAGACATACCCCTAAGCCTTGAGCCATTAGCCCTAAACCCTAAGCTCATGACCCTAAACCCTAAACCCTAAACCCTAAACCCTAAGCCAACAAAACCCGAAAGGTGGGTTTCCTCATTTTCGGAGGGTGGGTTTCGGAGGGTTTAGGGTTTAGGGTTTAGGGTAAGGATCCCACTGTTCTTTTACATTAGAGTCTCCTAGCTTTCTGACACTCTCCAACCCTCTACATCCAAGATCCCCTACACACCTGGACCCTAAAACCAAAGGGTTTAGGGTTTAGGGGTTTATATAGGGGCCTAAATAATTACCTATTCTAACTATTAAGGCCCCTCTACTAGGGTCCAGGGTTTAGGCGCTGCAAACCCCAAGCCAGTCCAACTCACGAGCACCTAAACGGAAATGGTTTCCAGCCCAGCGTTTGAAAAAACACAAAACTCAAGAGGCTTTCAAAGCTTTGAATTTGAGTATTTCAGGGTTTAGGGTTTGAGGGTTTGAGGGTTTGAGGGTTTGAGGGTGCAGGGTTTAGGGTTTAGGGTGGGTTCAGGGTGGGTTTACTTGGAATTAGTTGTTTCTTATTGGTTGCTATGATCCCCAAGACACACTCACTTCAGTATGTGCTACAAGTATACTTGTACTATACACTTCTGCACTACTAGCTATCACTATATATTCGCTTTATGTAGTCTTACTACATACTACTGCTATACACTACTACTATATACCGCTATACACTACTTACTACATCCTGCGCAGAAGCCGCTGCCTCCTACGGTGGCGAGTGAGCTGCCGGTTGGTCGCGTGGATCCGACCGGGCCATACGGCCCCGGCCTGTAGAACCCTAAACCCTAAACC